AAAATAAGAGTATATAAATGTTACACAGACACTACAGTGCTTTTCCCTGATATCCACAGTTTTCCCTCTAAAAGTTATATCACAGGGTATTGGGCCAGAATAAACCAAACAAAAGCCTTAACTTAATTGATTAGGCAACTAAGATTTGCATTCTGCATCCAGCAAACATCCATGTTCAATTCAATAAAGTAAAATTAATTATGTGGACTGGAGTTTTAGAAACTGAATCATTCCAGCAATTTTTCAACAACTATTACAACTCTGCCCCATTGTTAAAAAAAAAGAGCTCACATTGTACAGGTTTTATATGTAAAAATATACCTTAATTTTTACAATGAAACAAAATTAACTTTAGAAAATTATTTATACAATATGGAAGGAAAACATATGGAGAGTACAAGAAAACAAAATACTGTTACATCTCTAGTCGTTAGTTAATTTTCCGTAAAAATTCTTTCCGAAGAAACTTTAGTCATACAAGTCCTTTCTCAAATAAAACTGGTTTATTCTTTGTGAATACAACTTTGCAATACACTTAATTTTCACAGTCACGCTATAACAAACGCTATAATTCACGAGGAACGCCTCACGTGCTCGACTCAACAATACGTCTTTCTCTGTCCGCAGTTCAATTACCCATTGTAGGCATCAGTTCTTGGCAGTCTTATATATACAAGACTACCACATATCTAGTAACCTCTTGAGACTTCAGGAAGGGACAGGATCCTTCTAGAATTTCATGACGTGTGTTACTAGCGTCACGTGACCCCCGCTGTTGTAACACTGCCCCTTCCTTAGTATTGTTCGTCCCGAACAATAGACACTTACATTAAACCAATAAAAAATTAACAATAACTTAATTAAATGTACAGAATTTACAAACACAAAATTCAAATTCAACAGAGTCTCTTAATTTTACGGGACGTATCTTCTTCCGTACTGGTCTCCGTCTCATTGGTTTCTGCTTCATGTGGGGGTCATCTGCTTCATCAGGAAACGTCCTATCATTGGTAACAGTCACACCAGTGGTAGTAACTTCATCAAGGGCTTCGCTGTTTCCCTTTTCAAAACCAAGTAGAGTTTCTTCTTCAACAGTGGCTTTTTCAGGTGACACGTCTTCAGCAGCATCATTTGTTCCGTTGTTCACTTCATCCCAACTGAAATGTCCTGGACCATGATAACGCCAAAGCCTGTTGGCATGCACCACCTTTGGCTTACCTCGCCGACCACATTATATCCAAAAAGTCACGTCTGAGAGACGATCCACTATGTCATATGGGCCTTCCCATGGAGAAGACAACTTAGGAGACTTCCCTTTGGTCTTCCTGGGATTATACAATCACACCTTGTCTCCTGGTATAAAGCTGATTTTGGTAGATCTCTTATCATAAGATAACTTCATCGAATCAGCAGACGTTTTCAAGTTTGAACGCATTTGATGGTGAATATCATCCATCCTTTCCGATAACACTTTCACAAACTCTGACACATTCTCAGGCAACTCTTCATAAGGTGGGCGTCCTATTAACAGATCTACTGGCGACCGAAGTTCCCGACCAAACATCAACTTCGCTGGAGTGTATCCAGTGGCTTCATGCTCTGATTTAATATCTATACCTGGTACCATTTCACCATCATCAACTCCTTCAGTCACTTTGACCTTAGCTAGATGACACCTAATTAGTTCAACCTCTCTCTTTTAACAGTTACCAGAACTTGGCCTTTGTTGTTCCCAAACGTCATTTTATCAAAATTAATTACAACTTCCTCGGTAGTAAGTAGTCCAATCCTAATATGCATTTGTCTTCAATGTCAGCCAAGTATACTTTGTGTCGGTCTTTATGCCCATGAGCTCAATAGTTATCTACACTGGTCCCCACAACCTTGAAGAATGTCCTGTCACACCACAGAGCTTCTGTACAGCTTCTGGTACTCCTTTGTTATCCAGCACCTTGATGCTCACAAGGGTTTGCTGAGATGCAGAATCTATGACAAAGTTGCACCTTTGGCCATACAGCTTTCCTGTCACATAGACACAGTGTGTGCTTGGCATTTTACACCTAGCTGTTGGGACTTTCATGATGGGGGTTGGTGAGTGTCCCTCAACACCAACTACTACTGGTCTTCTTGAGGCTGACTTGTTGGTAATATTCTTCTTACACTGGCTCCTCATATGTCCTTGCTTTCCACAGTTCCAACAACCTTTCTGGGTAGCAGCCTTTCCTGTCATGGCATCTTCCCTGTGTTGAAGTTTCCAGCAACGAGCTCTCTTGTGCCCAGGTTTGTTACGGTGCCAGCAAAGTCCCTCAAACTTCTCTGAAAGCTGACCTTTTCTGGCCTTGAATCCTGATGACTATACCAACCTTAGTACCTCTGTGCTGGACTTAACATAGGATTCAAATTCAAGACCTCTGGCCATTGCATCCTGCATAGTAGAGGGGTGTGTGCTTGCTTCACTTGTATCTTCAGTTGTGGACTGTCCAAGGCATCTTCAAACTGATCTTTCAACAACAACTTGAGGAGATCGGGTGGTGCAGTTGGGTAGGCCTTGTGTGCCATACTTTCCAATACCTGTGCCAGCTCTTGCAGGCTCTCCCCTTTAGCACGGACTCTCGTCCTAAACCTAGCCTTGTAGACTTCAGACTGATTTTGGCGGCTTACATATATATGACTACCACATATCTAGTAGCCTTTCGAGACTTCAGGAAGGAACAGGACCCTTCTAGAAGTTCATGAAGTGTTACTAGCGTTATGTGACCCCCACTGTCGTAACAATATACTAATATGGTTGAAAATAATGCAAAGTCTCATCTGGATAAATAAAAGAATCAGGTAGTGGCACATCACAATTGTTTCTTAAAAATCTTCAAACCAGGGTTATGTGAATGTATGTAATCAATCAACATTGGGAATTCTATTTGTGAACAAACTATTTTAGAGATAATATACAGACATTCCTAATACAAATCCTGAGCCTGAACATGTGTTTTACATGTGCAGAAAACCAAATGGCATAAACAATTCTACAGTATAGTGATAACTGCATGGAGCTGTTTCACAGGGATTGCACAGGGGTTGATATTAAAGATATGCAAGATATAAACACCTTTGTTTTTGCAACTGTTGTGCAACAGTGGCCTTGTCATTGAGTTCAGTAGAGCACAGTGTTGGTCAAGTTCAGTTTGTAGATGGTATTCAACACCAATCAACATTAAACCATAATGATTAGTATGTTGAAGAGGTGTACTCAATGAAGATGGTAAGCCTCATAATTGGTCTACTTCAATTTGTAGACAGCATTCAACACCAACCAACATTAAACCATAATGATGAGCAACATGTTGATGGTGAAGATAGTCCCACTTATTTCAGACTTTAAAATGATGCTCATACTACACTTTAGATGGAAAACCAGGATATCCATGTAATATAACCCTCAAAACATGAGCTTGTATGCAAAAACATTTCCTTTATTAATAAAGAGGTTTGGATTTCATGGTATAGACTATAACTGCCAACTTGTGCCAAACTACAATCCAGCTTTAAAATTGTACCCTACAAGAGGTGACAGCCAGGATACCAGTGATTTGACTTTCAAAATGTTAGGTAATATATATATATATATATACACACATTATAATGCCCAAGTATGAAACTTCAGTTTTGAATCAGGAAAAGTAACTAGCTTCAGTCTCAAATCCAAGAAAAAGTAACTAACTTCAGTCTCAAATCCAGAAAAAGTTACAAACTTCAGCCTGACTAAAATTTAGTCAGATTAGAAGAGATGGAAATAGCAACACTAAAAAACTAGAAATGAGTTCATTATGAGGAGGATCCCCTCATTGTGCTACAAATATGAAAATTAAATACTAAAGAAAAATCATGTGTAATTTGTTACGAGAATCACTTTGGACACCAACCATACACAAACAAATTCTGAAATTAATGCTTTCAACTTTCACATACTGTGAATGTACAGAAAATTATCATTTTACACAAAAACTAACAACCCATCTCTATAAACAACATACTCTGTGAACATGAAAACAGGAAGTTTTGATCATAACTAACATGGCACAAATTACAATAACAAAAATGTTACAGAAAGTTTTATATATATATATATATTAAAATTCATATGGCTTTTAAAGACTAATCTATAAGTAAATAAAGAATGATGACTTCATTACATACAATAATGTTAATAAAATTATACAAAATACAGAAATATACTTCCACATTTAAATTGCAAATACAAGGTAAATGTAAATGTGAAAGTGAGAAAAAAGAGAACAATGTTTTGTGTGACTAATTTAAGTGTATGTACACATTTAAATTAGGCTGATACAAAATACATATGTGTATTACATGTAACAGTATCATGGGCTGTAGGCCTACATTATTAGCCTTATAATTCTGTAATGATGACCATTATTTTCAAGTACACAAATACAAATCTGTGCTAAACAAGTCATGTGATTTTACTTTTACTATGTATTACCCCAGAACCTTATAACTTTATCAGTTTATAATCAAATTATCTAGTACCACTAGTAGTAATAGTATTTGGTAGAACCTATCAAAAAGTTTCTTTTTTTTTATATATGTTCATATCTAGAACTTACAAGCTTTGAATTATATTTCTTGTCATTCATATCATCTTATTTTCTTCTCATTAATATATAGTACAACACTAATGTAACAGGTTTTCTAGTTATGTCAAACTTTTGTAGATAAGCTACTGCATATTTTCGTCAGACACCTAAAATGGAATTAGCCATGGGTTAAACTTATAACTGAAAAGATTTTAAAAAAATTAAGACTTAAAGTTGAACCAGTTCACCTAAAAATAGTAAAATTGGCTAGACTGTATCACAATGCTCAATTACAAATACAACTTCGAATTCAATGTGTTTTAACGTTAGTTTTATAAACAATCCCATAACACTACTACTACTATTTCATAAAAATTAAAACTAAACAGTAGTCGATGCACTTACCAAAGTGATTGAGAAACAGGTGAAGGCCAAAGAAAATAAAACGTCAGGAACACGCATCGTGAATTTAAAACACAAAAAATCTTCAAACCGTGAAATTAAATTAATTTTAAAATATCGGTTACCGAATGAATAGTAATAATTAACATTAATAACAATCTTCTAAACTTGAATTTGAAAACCGGCTACCGCCAGCTAACATTACTAATAGTAGTATTTATAATTATAACATTAGTTTCCTTACAAACAAGGGCTCTGAAGGAGAAAAAAATTGTTTCGCAGGAGAGATGGAACAAATTTGAAGCCTAGACTGTGTAATGATAAGACTAAAAGTTTAAAGTGTATAATATTTTCGTGGCAAACTTGGCTTCATTTTTAAAAATTAAGGTTCAAAATGGCCTGCTAGTTCTACTCTAGTATTACTCACTATTAGTAATGACATACAAGTAAATAATAATTGTAATACTACTACTAGTATTTAGTAAACAAATTAACAGAATAAAATAGTTTCGTACTATAGTTATTATCGTTAAACATTTTGGAAAATTACAATTATACCAATATATTTATGTATGATGAAATGCTTAGTAAAAAAAAAGTATAACAGTTTATACAGATATTGAAAAATAAGACACATATAACATCAACCGACGCTAGTAATTAACTACAACCACAAACTACGAACGACTGTAATATTATTCACGGTGTCTGCGCAAAGAGCCATTGCGCATAAGCCTGATCAGCCCTGTATGTCTCCAATAGCTTCTTCAACCAGATTCATTTTCGGTTGTAATTATGTCTATGCAGAGAGACATGCTGTTTTTCTATTTTTTCTTCTTCTTCCAAATACTTTTCAATCGCCCGTAATTCCTTCATTTCTCTGCTGATTGACTTGAAATTTGATAGGGTTAAACCTTGGTCCGATACGCCTAGACTCTTTTTAATTTTTTGATTTAGGCCTTTTTAAGGATTTTATGGGGTCAAGGCCAAACAACCTCCTGTACGTTCATATTTACAGCAATCAAGATGGAAATTAGCACAAATATAAACCTTCTTGCGTTCGATACTTTGACATACAAAGAAAAAAAAGTTGTATTTTTACCATTTTGAGTCTTTTTAGGAGAGGTCAGAGCTCACCAAAAAGCATAATTGTAGAATTATCGGTCAATTACTCAGCCATATTTTGACCAATTTACATGGAATTTGGTACAAAGATACTTTTCTACAGACCCCACACATTGACATACAAAAAATCATGTACTTCCCCATTTTTGTTAATTATCGGCGGGAGTCAAGATGCCACAAAAAGCATAATTTTAGTTTTTTTTACTTACTCCATCGTATTTCGGCCAGTTCACATGGGAGTTGGTACAAAGATACGTTTCCTTACAGACCCCATACAAATACATAAAAAATTGTGAGACATGTCCATTTTTAGTCAATTTAGAGAGGCCAAATTTGAAATAAACCCATAATTTTAGGGGGTTGATCAATTGCTTAATGTTGTTTCTACCAGTTGACGTGGAATTTAGTACAAAGATACTCTTTGCAGTTTCCATACAGAGATATAGACAGTTTTGAAATGTTTGCCTTTTGCTCAATTTTTCAGCGAGGAATGTACAATTTGGGGTTTTCGTGAACTATTCATGTGTATATCAACCAAATTATGTGGTATTTGGTACAAAGATACCCTCTTGTAGGTCCCTAGCAATTATATAGACAGTTTCAATTTTTCTGTGTATTTTACAATTTTTCAGGTGTCAAAATTGGACATGTTGAGATTGCATCGAAGAGACATTTTGCATTCTCCCGCGAATATTGACCTTTTTAATTTTTCTTTGGATAGTACATCTCTTTAGCTTCTCTCTTTAATTTATATCACGTTTTTTATGACATTCTTTTAACTATCTATTTCTTTCTTCTAATTTTCTGTCCCATTTTTCCTGACCTTTTAAGTCTTTTCTTAATAATTTTATCATCTCAAGTAACACTTCACTCCCAGTCCTTGACTTCGTGGTCACCATCTTCACAGCTGAAGTTCAACTTAAGTATTGTTGCGTCAGCGAGGTCACGTGACTAGTGTCACGCCACGTTTCTAGAACTATCCCGTTCCTTCGGGAGTGCTCTAGCTTTTACTAGATTGGGGATGGTCTGGTATATATAAAATGGTCACGGCGTGACGTGATAATGTGTGTGTAGGTAGTGAGTAATTGAACTGCAGTCAGAGAGTATTGTTATAACGTTTGTTGTAGAGCTACTGTTGAAAATAAGTGTATCGGTAAAGTTATATTCAGAAAGAATAAACCAGTTTTATTAAGTAAGGACTTGTGTCGCTAAAGTTTCGTCCGAACGAAGTTACGGAAAATTAATTAACAAACGGTAAAGTAATAGTATGTTGAAAGGTTCTATTTGATTCTTACCAGAATAATCCCAATTTTAATAGTGCTGTAACATTAATCTTTAATAGTTAGTGAAATTAATTTAAAATCCAGTCTGTGTTGTTAGGTGTTAGAATTTCGAATAGTCCGAAGCAGAGTTTACTGATAACTTAAATTTAGTAGTTATATTGTCCTTTGGATTTAGTATTTAAATATATGCCGATATTTTAGTCAAATTACAATATTTGCCAACAAAATTGATACACATCGTTTTTGTTTTTAACACAAATACGTTTTAATATACACACAACAGTATAATTTACAATAACAATTATTACAAATAGTTATTAGAAACAAAGATTTATAAACAAAAGTTTCATAAACTTACAAACATTATAAAATCTTCTTTCTAGCTTGGAACTCCCTTGATATCTTATCGAAGGTTTACGATGAGCGAATTAATTACGAGTTGATGTAAATACGATTCGCCGGAAAGCTAGCTAGTTTTGCCCTTGGCCACACACGCTAAGTTTTCTACCGTTGAAGTTAGGTAATGTTTTCATAAAAATACTAATGTCTGATGAGAATCCACTGAAGTTAAATAATTTGTAATGTTCGAACTTTGTAAAGGTTCCTGGTCAAATATGTCAAATTTTTCGATTGATAAGCGTTATAAAAATCACAGCTATAGCTTTCGAAGTTTATAGCACACTGATTATAGCGAAATACTAATAGACACTCTCCTTCAAGCGCATCGCGTTTGTTGTATTTATAGGCGTGGGAAGGTTTTCTAGAAAATTCAGATTATATAACAATACTGAGCTATACTTAAACGTTTACGTATATAGATATCTTGTTGATTCTCATTATCGAGAATCTTCTAGAACTTTGGAGAATAAGCGGGAGTTTCGCAATACGTATCTAACATATCTATGCATGTTTTTAAATATAAACTTAATCTAAACAATGTTCATGTTAAAATAAATATATAACAAGAAATTCGTTACAATGTAAATTATAACAAATTAACCTATTTCTTTTTTAACACTTATACAAGCTTGTCTTCACTTGTTGTAAGCCTAAATTTACAAATGACGCTAACTATACTACACTAACGTGAAAATAACCACACTTGTATTTTCTGAATGAAAAACTCTGGCTGAAACGAAAACACTGTCTGACTGATTCACTTTACTATTTCCTTAACCATCTCTTCAATGCTTCGCTGATCCAATATTTATAATGTACCTTCGAATATTCTAGAAAATTTGATGTCAAATCCCCTAAAATTTTCCAAATGTTCTAGGACTATTTAGTTTTAATGTCATCATTATGACCCGAGCTCCATCTAGTTAACAAACAAATTACATCACTTATAGCAATATAAAGAAACGAAGTTTCAAGTGCAAAATTCGATAGGACTACTCAAAATTCTTTGTCACCCACGCCAGTAGACAATGTTTTATTATTCAGAAAGGAAATCAGAGTTTCCAGAATCTCTATCACTGCATGCTATCAGTATGTTAGACACCATTTAGAAGTAATTAAAGAATTATTTAATGTACTGACTGTATCAGAGACAGGTATATACGCTTGCACTAATCCTTATGCATGATTGCAATGGCAAGACCTGGCATAGATCACAGCTATGTTTAACTAAGTTATGAAAGGGTTACAGCCATAATATTTGCATGTTCCAGCTTCATCTTCCTACCAATATCCTCATTCCGGCCTTACTTTTAACTTTAAGTTCGAGATCAAAATATTAATCTCAGCCTAACTTTGACACAATGGAATCATGCCCTCAAGGATAAACAATGCCAAAGACCATGACATTTGCAGAGTACAAGTGTAATATAGAGATACTAGTAGATGTTCGATAAATAATTTAACGGTGATTTTCCCAAAATTAATGATGAATAAATATAAAATGTGCAGTCAACCCAATCCCTTGGATCAGAGCGTCTGTGCAATATGATTGCTTAGTGTGCCACTTACAATCATCTTTTATCATTCCATGTGATATTTCAATAACGAGAATTGCATTGCATTTTTTTAAAGCAAAGGATGTTGACTGCAGAATTGTTGTTAAAAATGTTTGGGTTTCGATAGATTGGGTGCATCCAGCATAATAGAGCTCTCATGTTCATTAAGTAGCTGTGGGGATTTTTCCATTGGATGCCACAATTCCTTGTAATTTTACAGAGCGCAAGAAAAGATCGCTACCAAAGTGAGCGTTTTTGAAAGTTGTCATTACTATAAGAATTGTCCAAGGAGAGATATTCAATTCAATTCAATTCAAATCCATTTATTCGACGTGTTACAATAAAATCATGTATCTATATAAAACAAACATAGAATATATATATATATATATATATAAACCGAAAATAATATATATATGTATATATACTCAAACACGTTCCTCTCTCTATTCTTTTTTTTTCTTTCATGCTCCTACATTCGACGGAGGAAGTCCAATTTTTTTGTGCAATTTCCTCACAAAAATAAACGCCCCAGTGGTACAGTGGTATGTTTGCGGTCTTATAACGCTAGAAACTGGGTTTCGATACCCATGGTGGGCAGAGCACAGATAGGACTTTATGTGATTTTGTGCTTAATTCCAAATAAACAAAGAGAAACATTTTTGTTCTTAACAAATTGGTTTTGTTTTTTTTCTCATATTGACTATTCGGCATATACTAAGATTAATGGATCGATGTTGATATCGATATGAAATCTTAGGGATTGCTAAAAATGAATAATATTCTTGTAATGTACTATTGAAAATAAGCATTTTGATATATATACATATATTTTTATACGATTAGCTGTTCAGGAGATACAGAGTGTAAAGGACAGACATTTGCCTATTTTATATATAGAGATAGTTTTACTTTTCAGATACATGTTATCACATGAATAAGATTAATTTGCATTTTGTATTTATGGCAAAGCTACTAAGGCTATCCTCCACTTCCCCTAACTTGAACTACTGACCAGAGGGAGAGTGCAACCAGTTAACAGCACTCTACCACGCTTATAATGCACCCACAACTTAAAGTGCAGGAAGTATTTTGTGGTATTTCATGGATTGCAACCCGATTCATCAGCTCCGAAATCGAAAGCTCTATAACAGGGCCAACCCGCACCCTAGTAATAAATCTTTACCTCCACCGTTACTGTTTAGCAAATATCTTAAAAGAAAAACAGTAGCATCAATTTTTGAAAATTAAGGATATGTATATAAAAATATCTAAGTTTAAGCATTTATTTTATATT